GTAGAATAATAATTATTTAATTAAAAAAATTACACAGATGGAGCCCATAGTTAGCGACCACGTCTCTGTTCCGTAAGTCATCACTGGCAACACACATTGGTCGTAAATCACTGGCTATGGGAAACACACATGTGGTCAATGTATCATACTGTTGACTAAGAAACCATCGTAATAAATTCCTGGTGAATTTGTAACGATGTGCTAACAGACCTGACCTCATGCTCATGTTATCATCCTCCACTGGTGGCCCGCCAGCGTAAACCATTAGCGCAGGCGGGTGCATCATTCCATTATCATCCATCCTTGCTAGCAATGTATCATGCCAGGTTGACCTCCACGCGGTTCCCCCTGGAAACCATCGTGATAAATTCCTGGTGAATTTGTCACGTGCTAACTGACCTGACTTCATGCTCATTTATCATCCTCCACTGGTGCCCCGCCAGCGTAAACCGTTAGCGCAGGCGGGTGCATCATTCCATTATCATCCTTAAAAAAAAACTGTTACTTAGCAACGAGAACACTAATTTTAAATGTGATGGATTATATTTTTTATTCCGAAATCGATATGTCAAATAATTATTAGGTTTACCGACGGCTTGTTTATCATTTTAGTCCTATTATATATTAAATAACTGCGAATAAGAAAACGTACATTAAAAAACATGACTATTCAAAAGTGCTTACATAAAGTATATTTGTATAAGATTGTATCTATTTCTTTCTTTTTAAAAGTAATTTTTCGCAGCCAACTCACGACTAACAATAGTTTACATGTGTTCCGCGTTTCAGAAACATCATTAAAGTTTGGCCTCGCCATGTAATATCATTACTTATACAATGTCAGAAACGTAGTGAAAAGATTAGATTTACTATGTGAACTGTGGCCATAAATTTATTTCGCCGTCGAAGTCAAGGACGGGCATCGCGGGGAACAAAGCAGACTAAATAATTTGAGTATTTTGCGTTGAATAAAACATTTTCTCATATAACAATACTTTTCGTATATTGTTCAATACCATGTGAATATAATTTAGGGTTACCAACCCTTTCGTAAAAAAAACAAAACTTTTTGCAAACCTATTTTAGGTATATTCTTTTGTCTTGTTTCTCGAACTGTTTTTGTTTTACATTTGAAAGCATGTGAATCCTGACGATTGCAGGTAGAAAATCTGTAATTTCAGTACCATATCTCACTTCTTAACTAAACTATGTAACAAAGAAACATTAATTCAAAGGTGACAACTTGTCTATTCTTTTAGTAGGTTGAATAGTATCGCTTGCGTTTAGCTATTTATTACTAGCAGTTAATATAGACAATCTTGTTTTAGTTTCGACCTATTCTAATGCTATTGGCTGTAGCTGGCCTTTACAGCTTCACCGGATAATAGGGGGCGAGTGCAGATGGCACTCCAAACCAAAGGAAGGACTTGAAGGACTCCTGCCTGGCCGATGTGACTTTAGACTAGACAGTAGTGGTTAGAACCATGACTCTGGCCGTAATTTCAATCACTATTTTGTATTTTTTACATTGCACTGAATAAAATAATTTTCTTTCTTTCTTTCACTATATTTAGTGGACGGGGATCGATCGTAGGGGGCTTACGAAACGACACGAACACGGAAGGTTATAAAAGTCGTTGAGAAAACTTTGCAAATTTTTTAAATAAATTTCATAGTTTCTGTTCAGTTCTGTAAGAAACTTCTGTAAAGTAATAGAAATAATGAAGATGAATGAAATCGGTAAATCGTTCTCAAGTTACATTTAGAGTCTTTTGTTGCCCAATTTACATAGTTTTTTTAAATTATAGCCTACGTATTATTCTAATATATATTCATATTTTATAAACTTTGCCACTTTGATCTTCCATCATGCTCTTTAATTCTTGATACGACACGACTCCCTTTATATAAGCTATATTATTATAAACTTTAATGAAAATCCATTGAATAGTTGTTACATGGATAAGCAATAAACTTACGTCTATATTTCCATTCTAACCAAATAAATCGCGTATATAATATTAAAATTGGTTGATACTACAAATTAAAAAAAGTATTTAATCATTTGATTAATATTATACAGGTTACCTTGTGATTGGGGGTCACTAGTCCCCCGCTGGGATAGATGCAGCTCCTTCTCGAGATAGCTTACTTTTAGCACAGGGACCCGTATGTATTGCGGCTCCATTAAATATAGAGTCGGAGTGGATGTGGGGTAACCGTCAGAATCTACAAAATATAATAATCTGGAATTTTTTTATACGTGGCATATCTCTTACATAATATTGGCATGTTGTTTTATTGAAAACTAGTCAGTTTCAACATCATTAATTTAATAGCGAGTTATTCTGATGTATAAGTTATATTATCGGAAAGATTTAAACATTGCAACTATGTATCCACACTCACTAACTTCCACCCTCATAATGTTAATAAGATAAGCAGTTATTTCAATATGTAACAAAAAAATATAACTCGCTTTTTTTACTATTGAAATTTAGATTTTTTCCATTATAATATACTACTTAATTAATAAATAAAAAACGTTGGTTTCTTCTCTACCATCAGTTGAAATATTGCAAAATGTTGCAAAGTTCAAATATTGTTCAGTATCTGTGATTACCTTATTTGAGATTATAGTCGTAAAGTTATATTTATTTCAATAAAAAGACATGCCAAAGTTATTTATTAAATATGCCGAGTATAAATAACACAGACTATACTGTTATTCAGATAATTATCAGTGATTACACTACGATCAGTATCATTTGTTTTATTTTAGACGTCATTACTTATTATTTTTAGAACGATTATTAACTGTGCATTAGTTTTATAGTGATACAAGTATTTTAACCGACTTCAAGAAAGATTAAATTCACAATCCACTTGTACTTTCTTTTTTATTGAGAGAAAATTATGAAATATCATAATGGATCCATATAAGTTTTTAAGTTTTTTTTTATTAAAAAGGTATGACAAAATTAGGAAATATTATATATTAACGGATCTATATAAATTTTGTAACAATTGAAGTCGGTTTTGTATATAATAGTTTATTTAATATTAATTTATTAATAAGTGTAACCATGCACAGGTGTTTTTGCTTAATAATGGGAGCTTGCTTTTTTAAAAAGCACGCTGCTTGTGGCTGCACTGCAAATGCCTATGCTGTCGCCTTGATATTAAAAAAGTAAATTTAAAATGTTCTCTATGATAATTGCGTGAAAGCCCCTAATTCTTGAATCTATTTTTCATAGTCTATGGTTCTATTCTCTGCGATAGATACTGATTAAATGTGAGTATTCACTAACTAATTATAAATAACAGTATGATACTTACCGGATTCTGAGTGTTACCCCCATTTACGTTTATTTGAAATATATAAATTGCATAAAACAAAGTTGCTGTTTTTATCTATTATTCCACTTATTTCTTTTATACTAGGCTTTCGCAATCAATTCGAAAACTTTTTCGGAACGTTTGTATGCACACATATATGTAGATTCGTGAGAAACATGAGAGAGTAGATAGTTCCCTCCGATGTAATTGGAATAATTCTCAGTGTTACCCCCATTTAGTTTAATTTGAAATATATTCTGAGTGGTTAGATAATTATTCGACTTCCATCATATCATTGTAGACTCGTGCTAAGCAAGAACGGGTAGCTAGTTTCGTCTAATGTAATTAGAATGATTCTGAATGTAACATGAATCTGAATTCAAAATCCTATTTAAATTGAAATAATTCAAAGTAAGTGGAAACCCCATAAATATAGGTAATAATGCATACATTACGGAAATATTACGGGTAATCTAAATATTGTTTAAGGGTTAGAATTTTTAAAACTGATTTTAATTTCCAATACTATTAAAAACTTAAATAATATTAAAAACATTTAATGCAAAATGACGATAAATAACTGCTTTTTTAAGCTCTACAAATATTTAATAAAAAAATAGGCAGTTTTCGCCCTCCAGGTACCTAATAGTATCGTGGTTTGAAATAACATAAAAATTCTAAATGTTACCCCCCTTACCCCTATTTGGAATAACCCTGGACAGATTTTCACTGTGCTACAAAATTAGGAGAGTCGACCCCCCACATTTAGTGGGATAGTGCAACGAAGAGAGAGAGAGAGAGACGAATACAAATCGTACATAAGTACAAAAATATTACGGGAGTATATAAGTTTGTTATAAAAACCTTAAAAAAAGTAATTCTATCCATTTCTTTTATATCATTTCTTAGTCAATATTATACTGAGGAAAAATATAGAAAAAATATACCCTATAAATATATATATATATATATATATGTAAGTATAGTAAAAAAATATTACATTATATAAATTAATGTTTTAAAACAAAAAGAATAACAACATGTTTTCCCGCCATTTTACCAGCTATGTCATTTGTAATCGATGATTTTTAACTGGCCAGATACATTAAAAATCGACTTACAATCAATATACCTAGTCAATTAACTAAAGAAAGTAACCGGATGTATTACTATTCTAGTCTGTAATAATACTGTTACTAATGCCCTTATAGACTTTAACATAACTATAGTTTCTTGACGTATAATCAATCAATGGGTTATAGAAATAATAATTAAGATGTCACGCTTTATTCGTGGTCAACACAATAGTTCAGTACTGAATTAATAGTTGTTTTTTTTTTCAATACCTGTCAATTTTTCCATTCTCTATGGTGGTATAATGTTTTTTTTTTATTATTGTATTTAACGAGACTGATTGGAAACTGCGTAACACCAAAAAATAGCGTGGGTTTTTGTTTTTTAATATTAAATTAAAACCGTTTAGAAATATGATTAAAGCAATACGTATCTCGTTTTATCTATATTTGAACATAGTAGATAAGTTTAAATTGTATTGTTTATTTAAATTGTCATCAATGTTAAAATAATAATTTTAAGTATTATAGTAAATTATTAATTTGTGTGCACATTATCAAATGAATATAGTGTAGTGCAAAACTTACCTGGTGGAGTGGTGGGCTCGACTTCTTTAGGTGATTGTGAGTAGCTCTTGCCGAATGTGGTCAGTGCTTGGTGACTCTCTCCAGTCAGCCAACCGGCGAGTAAAAACGGCAAAATTGCCGCGGCAGCCTGCCTTCTGCACCACATCTCGACCCGCAAAACACGCATAGTGTATTACCAGCTTTATTTTCGACTCGTAACAATTTACATTCTATCATATGTTCGAATTTTGAAATGTCAATATCTGTTTTCATTGTTTTTATTTTTTCGCAGTTCTAAATATTTTTTTATTGGTTGTAGAGGTTTAGGCTAATACAATGAATATGAATGGATTTGTTATAGTTCTACTAAAAAAAGTATGGTTTAGTTTATGGTAAGTAAACACGAAACATTTATGAATATAGCTCTGTAAGTTATAAATCAACATCGAATCGCCAATCTGATTCGTAAATACTTCATTTTATTGGTCCGTTTCAAAGAAATATTTTTTTATTAGTCGTTTATTTCATATTTCAGTGAATTATAAATACAGTTGTAATAACCACACTTTGACATAAATGTACGTATTTAAAAATCTTGTATTTATTTTAAATGGATTCACACACAGATTCGTAAAGCCATAGAGAAATTGTATAATCAATAACTATGATTCTACAGTACTCCACTTTATTATCGTTTTAAAAAAATACTTCGCAATTAACAGATACTTGTCAACTGTGATGTTAACAAAAGAAAATAATATTCAGGGATTTTAAATGATTTTATTATAGTTATTTTTTAGTAAATTACAATAATTAGAGATCACAATAATATAAAACTCATACCTATATTCCTATACGATACTTCGGTAGGCAATAGACTAAATAATTTATTTTTTGTAAACTGAAATTCATAAATAATATAACCTATTTGCATTTTAGTTTATTATATAAATATATATATTTTAACATCGGATCCAGATGTGGTGTAGATATTTTCCTTATTAATCTAATTAGAAAAAAAAGTGGAATTATTTTTAAAATTATCTATGGTAGTGTGATTTCTAGTTTGTACAATTTTTGAAGTTGGAGAATTGAATCGAGACTTTATACTAGTGGAATTTTTATACAGTTTTTAGTATATATATACTTACGTTACCATAGTCAAATGACGATGGAATTGATGAATGTAATCTATACTACATAATATTATAAAGCTGAAGAGTTTGTTTGTTTGAACGCGCTAATCTCAGGAACGAATTGAAAAATTATTTCGTGTTGGATAGTCCATTTGTCGAGGAAGGCTTTAAGCTACATAACTTTACGCTACAACCAATAGGTGTGGAGCTGCAATGAAAATATTGCGAAAAGTAGGGAAATGAAACGCAGACGAAGAGCGCGCGTTAGCCAGTAATAGAAGTTTGAGTGAATGTACATTGATAAATAATGACCGTGAATTTTGGAAAAACTATGATATATAAATTAAAATAATTACAATATGTACATATTTATAATTATGATTGAAAACCTGAACTGATCAATTATCATTTTATATATATATCAAGGAAAGTCCACAATAAAGAAAGCAGAATATCAAATTGTTTCTATTTTCTAATATATTGTTTATCATCTTATATATAAAAGTCTCGTGTCACTATGTTAGTTACCATACTGCTCAGAAACAGCTTTTCGGACACGATTTTTATGAAATTTTATATGCATTTTCAGTAGGTCTGAGAATCGGCTACTATCTATTTTTCATACCCCTAAGGCATGTGGCATTCATAAAGACACCTACATTTTCACCACTCTATCACCAACCCCTATTTTTAATAGCGATTTTATTTTATGGTAAAATTATATTTGCGGGTTCAGCTAGTGATAAATAAATATTGTGAAGATCGGGTTGGATAAATGTCATGAATTTATATTTAACACATATAGTGTATTAGCAGGGAAAAGATCGATATCTAAATGGTCATAGCTGAAAACAATATCGTAAATATACACATTATACATATAATATTTACACCTATGAAAATAAGTGCTATCTAAATTTGACATATAATGTTATTATTGCATATAAATAATTAATTCTATTATATATTACTAAATTTTGCATGCCAAAACAATGGCGAAATATCTGGACTATTTTATTAATACTAACATTCTTTTAATAATTATATCATATTTCATGCAAATAAATTTCATGTCATTTCATATTTTACAAATGGATTAATATATATGAACATAATAACATAAGCTTAAAACATTATAAATTAATACTTTTGCGTATGCGGTTTTCTAAAAAAAAACAATTCAATTAATTTTCATCTATTAGTATATGATTGCAATTAAAGCTATAGATGTATAAAATTTTACCTGCTACACGTGGCCTTAAATATAAAAAAAAATAATAGCTCTATGACTGAATATTTTTATGCGGTCTATTCCTACATGCGGCATGATATCGCTATGAATGAAATGATCGTGTTAGTAAGTGATGAATGAGTAAATTTGTCCCATTAATTAGAAAAATCTTACCCGGTGGTGGGGTTGTCGTCGCAGGTTTTGGCGGATCTGTGTTCGCCTTTCCAAAGGACGAGATGCCAAACGCTTCGACGGACTGTACACTCATCCATCCAGTTATCAATAATGAGATCATGCTCATCTTTTTACAGTACCACCACATTTTTGTATAGTGTAATAATTGCACTGTTTCTTTATAATTCGAAACGTAAATGTTTACGTTCTATTGTTTTGTCTATGAGAGATTGTAACGGATTATTTTGGAATTCGATTTTTAAATTGCTGTCTTCTATAAGTTTGTAGTTTGTATTGGATAGGATTTTGCGAAGTAATTTGATTTCCTATTATGTGCTCGGTGAATAGATTAGCGAATACCTACTTCAGCTACTTGTTAGTGTGATCGAACGTAAAAATTTGTTATTTCTTATAATACAACTATTTGCCATGTACCTACAGTGTAAATCTACATATGGTTATGATTTAATTCTCTTGTCATTTTGTTAGTTTGTTGCATAAGTCGTTTTGTAATTGACCAACGCCAATTCGCAATTGGTTTCGTTTGCGTTTGCAGCCGCTGTAATTCTAAATTTCAGTATTCTAGTAATTAAACACTAAATTAGACACTGAAATAAAATTCAATTTCTGTGTCTTATAACTTTTTAAAGTTTCCTAATAATTTAAACTATTTATATTTTCTATAAATTTAAATAGCCATTACACTATAATTTTTTTGTAAATAGTATATGTTAAAAAACTTGCATAATAACGATATCAAATAAAACTATTTATAATACATATTGATGCCTATAAGATAATTTTAATATTATTATTACCTAGGCGTATTTACAGCAAGATAATAATAAAAATAAAAACAATTGAAATTATTGTCTATTACTAATAAAATTGGTTCCAGTTATGAATTTATAATAAAATTTGTATTTGGAATTTCCACCACGCTGTCTGGAGCGAGTTAATGGATTTTAAATCGAATGTCTTTTAAACATTATAGTGACAAATTCGTCATTTTACATTATAGGTCAGCCTGCTTTTGATCATATATATGTGCAAATAGTTAAAAAGTTCCTAAATCTGAATTCTTACCCGTCGGCGGTGTTGGCGTGGGCCTCAATGTAGGCGGTTCAGTTCTAGCCCCGCCGAAAGCTGGACTGAAACCTCCGTAACATTGACCAATTATGTAAAAACATAGCATCAAACGCATTAACATTTGTTTTCCCAACATTTTCCTTCAATTCGTTTTTTAATGGCCGAATTCTATTTCTAAAACATTAGGATATAATTATTATATTGTAATTTATCAATTATTTTTTATTTCGTGAAAATTTGATGAGAAAATTATTATAAATGTAAATAATATTTACATTCTTTGTGCTCATTATGTACAGTTTTATTTGTTAATATATTTACAACCTAAACAATAATACAGATTAAGTACAAATTAGGTTGGTTGTACGACAGAGAAATTATTTCAGTGCCTCTACGCCTTGGCATTTTTTTAAATAATGGGACAATAACAATTTGTTAGTATAATTTAAACGCTATAGAAACATGACCAATTCGTGTAATCTAATTTTGGAGCTAAATATCTTAAATATCATAAGATATTTAAAACATTCAGTGTAAAAAACTTGCAGTGACTGTCCATGTGTTCTATCAAAACGTGATTTCCAATTGTGTTTGTGAATTGTGCGTAGTGTAGCAAGTCCCATTATATAAAAAAAGTTACCGGGCGGTGTGGTTGGAGCGGCAGATGGCGGACGCGTATTCGAGACACCAAATGTGCTGAGGGCCTCGGAAGATTCGCCAATTAGCCACGCCAGTAGCATTGGCAGAATGACAGCGGCTGCTTGCTTTCGGCACATCTTGAAAATCCCAAATACGTACATTTATGTTACCTTACAGTTACGTTCTATGTCCTTGTCTTTGGTTTCAAAATGGCGTTTCGATGTTGGCGCGAAATATTGACGTTTTATAAACTAGGAATAAAGGCTTGTAATTGTTGACAAATCGAATATAGGCGACTAGAAATTTATTTCAATTAATAAGTTAAATATTTGTTTAAAACTTTTAAGCTAAAATGGCGGTAAATAAAATGTTTATTGACAGATATAAGCATAAAGTAGCTACTTATTTTAGAGTTGTGAATTCATATGGATTTAGATATCGATGAAATAAATACATATTTTAACTTTTGTTATATAGTAAACATTATTGTAAACGCGATGTCTTTATTATTATTAAAGAAAGGGGTTATTATTAAAAATAGAGGTACAGTTTAAATAAACATCAAAGTGAACTTATATGTAATGATTTAGGCCAGTATTTTCTACACTACGTTTATGAGAAACAATAAATGCTAAACATTCATTAACAAAGGAAATCATTTCCGATTTGTTACTTATTCGCTTATATATTATTTTATGGCTATTTTATTGTGAAATTGCAAGCATGTTAGGTTTTTAATTACTAGTAAGTCGTAAGCTAAACTAAGTACGGCATGTATATACATACATGTGTGTATGTATATGATTTTACATGACCCGGACACAAGCCACGTAGGTTTATATGAGAATATAAAATCTTTAAAATTTGTTTTATTTTGTATATTTTAAATTGATTAAATATTATTAAAATTCATTGATA